CTGGCTTTGAGTGACACAATGATGATACAAAAATACAGGAGTGTGGATTCAACACTAACATTATCCACCTCAAAGTAAGTTTATTGTTGTCATTATGACATGTTGATTTGTAGCTGAGTTTTACCCTTTAGGGAGAAATTGTTATAAGTGGGCTGGGTTTAGATCTCCCTAGTTTTGCACATGTGAATGTTCTGAAGAAATCTTTTTGGATTTTTAAACTTGGCAGATCTCTGACTGAATACTTGCCATATTTAACTGTTCATTGCTACAAATAAAGTCTATTAAATTAAAAGTTTGCCTTACAGCCATGCTTTCAGTATTGCCAAGACTATATTTATCTAACTGGAATGGGATTGTAATAGTAGAAATTAGTTGTTGTGGGTGCTGCCAGGCAATCTGCACCTTTCTGGTTTTCAGCTTAGTTTGATCTGATTGCTGTTTCAGGATAGGATCAAATGTCACTTAATTCATATGTTTTTGACTATAAAAACTTTATATAAAACTTGCATGAATTCTTACACTAAAAGTATGTGTTTTTTATACTGCTATTGTAAATTTCATAGGCTGACATATACCACAGCTTACAAAAAACATCTATGTAATCGTATATTACCCATATATGTTTTAGGTAATTTTAATCACATGACATATAATTAACTTATATGACGCATATAAAGAAAACATAATCTCCCTACAAATTATATACAATTTACATACAGAAAACCTGTATATAATGGTATGTATTCATATATGAAAAGAATATGTCTTTAAAACAGAAATATAGTTAAAAACTACAAAGCTTATATGAAACGTATGGAAAATATAATTTGTCATGTTTTCCTTACATACTACATACATATATTTTACTTGTTTCATACTTAATTTTTCTAATTTCGCATTCTTTTGTTGTATGAAAAGAATGTGAAAGCGGTCACTTCCAAGAGTAAATCATAGTATGAGACTTATATGCACAACACATATCAAACATAAAAATTTATTACTGGAATTGATGTAACTTCTTTTTTTTTTAAATATATTTTTTGGGCTTTTGCCTTTATTTAGAGCAGGAGAGAGAGACAGGAAAGGGGGGAGAGACCTGCAGCAAAGGGTCACGAGCAGGATTCGAACTCACAACCGCTGCGTTGGGGACTGTAGCCCCTGTTCATGGGTCACCCGCTCAACCAGGTGAGCTATAGGGGCGCCCCAAGAATTTATGTAACTTCTTATAAGTTTTACAAGTTTTCCCCAGCAGTCAAGAAGTCACAGACCACCTCCTGCACTCCACGTCATGGAGCGACCGATGTAGTTCATGATGAGTCTTTTTTTTGTTTCATGTAAATCATAAAAATATCATATATGTAGATAGTTTGTTATAACATCTATCAACAACAAATATTAACTACAAATTATCCTTCAAGCATCAAGCCCTTGTTTAATCGCAACCTCCATCTTGACAATCCGACAGCCTTGCTATCCGACATAAAAGAAGGTGTTACATTTAGTGTGGGATTATTACTATCAAGTCAATATATACAGTCGTGACTTGATAATATAGATAGATAGATAGATAGATAGATAGAGAGAGAGAGAGAGAGAGAGAGAGAGAGAGTGAGAGAGAGAGAGTAAAATGTGGTATGATGAATGAAGTTTACTGATGTGTTTTTTTGGGGGTTTTTTTTGACTCATTTGTCAGTGAGGAGATCTTGAGATACATTGTTTTTTGTACAACTACTTTTTCCATGATCAAGTATTAATTGCGATGCTCCACTGTGCTAAAATGTAACAAAGGGTAAACCTAATGTATCTAATTTAAAGTCATTTTCCATAGTTGCATGGGTAGGAAATTTAATGCATTTTACTTCACAGTAGTCTGCAGATATAGTAATGTGTGTCAGTAGTAATATTTTATGCAAACAAAACATTTAAGAACGCTTTTTTTCACTTTACCTAACAGACTTAGCCACAGGGTTCTCATCCCAGGTGTGCCCTACAGTATCCATATTCGTATATTATTTGAAAATAGCAATGTCCTTTTTTACATTGAAATACATTAAATCAATTTTCAGAGGTTTTATTTTGAATGTGACCGGAAGTAGTATATCATAGTGCTTGTACCTTGACGATAAAACAGTTCCCTGCCTTTTACGGAAAACACCCAGGACCAAAACCACAGAAGCAGTGGTTTGTGCACCCGTTGGGAAGTCCTTCCTTTTGTTATTTTTCTTCCATTGTGAGGCTGAATATATATGCGCTGTGTTTCAGGAGGGTTGTTGACGGACACATCTGTCTACGAGGAGTAACATTAGCAGCCAAAGGAAACGAAACCTGGCATCACACACGGTAAGCGGATGTCACAGTACAGATTGTACACATGGTTTTCACACCATCTGGCTGAATTATGAGACAATATCAGCTTCCAGCGTAGCAAGTAAATGGAAATTAGACACCAGAGACTTTGATTTGGCAAAAAATGGCCAATGTGGAGATCGGATTCAGATAAGTGTCCCTCAAATATGTACATAGTTAAGCTTTGAGATGCTAAAGCAGCCATTTAAAGGTTTGTTGAATGACTAAGTAGCGGACATTGGTCCTCTGTATCACTTAAAAGCCCGCAGATCATTTACGATTATGTCACTGTGGTTATTTTGAACGTGTGAAAGTCTTGGGTCTTGAATGAGTTTTCACAATGTGTGTATTTGCCAGAGCGCAACATGTAGCTAGGTAGGCCCGCAGCGGAGAGCCTGGCCCTTGTGTAGTAAGATCCTTACGGTAAAGTCTGGCTCTAAAGTCGTGTTTTTTATGGTCTTAAGTACGAACCCTGTAAAATGTTACTTAGGCATTTTTTAAAAGAACAGGAGTCATGATTCAATTCAGCTTACACATAACAATCATCAAACATTCAGCTTCAATTCATTTCATCTAGTCACCTCTAATTAGAAATGTTTTGATGAGGAGGTGAAAAAAAGGGTAGGTTGAATATAGGTTGAAGTTGAACGTGTCTAAATATTTGCGCTGTCTACAATCTCTCAGGAATACAAATTCCTTAATAAAGAACTTGATTTTACACAATATTTTCTCCAAAGTGAAGAAAGTGGCCAAAAGCAGCCATGTACAAGAACTAGATTTTAGTGACTGTAAAGCAGATGCCTTCATGTGTAAAGAGACTAAACCATGGTAAATTTCTTTCTTGTGTCCCTTTTTATTCAGGCCATGTGAGGTGGAGCAATGGAAGATGAAAATACGAAACTTTGTCTGACTCAGAGGAATAATGGAGACCGAAGAAGTACTACAAACATAAACTTAGCTGATCAAATGCTAATGAAGTCAAGAACTCATCACATGGTACAAATCTGTTAAGGACAACAGTAGAGGTAAAACACATTTGTATAGCTGAATGTGGAAACAAGACGTGGACATTCTTTGGATCATGTTGGTGAAGAGTAGGCGTGCTCAATCTGTGTCTATGATACAGGACTAACTAAGTCAAATGACTGTATTGGATCGGATGACCATGGATGCAGTTATGTAAGAAGATATCTCTCCAGTGCACAGGTCCTGACAATCAACACACTGCTGTGATTTCTGCCACATATGTGGGCTCTTAGGGGGGAAAAGTTTGTTACTCAGCACAGAGAAATCTATAGATATTCCCTGAGAGGTATCCCAGCATTTGGTCTTCTCCTGCAGGACAAAAAATTACTTTCCAATTTTTGATTAAAAAGCAGAAGTCTGAAGCTGTTGAGTCTTCACCATGCCTCGGAACCGAGCGTTTTCCGAGCCAGAGTACTCTGCAGAGTATTCAGCAGACTGCTCTGTGACATTGCCCTCTGACCCTGGGCAGGCAGTGGGGCGAACACATGAGGTCACGGTGCGGAGTTCAGGATGCTGCCTTTGCCTGCCTCGATTCATGCGTCTCACCTTTGCACCTGAGTCTCTGGAGAACCTCTACCAGACCTATTTTAGGCGGCAAAGACATGAAACCCTGCTCGTGCTTGTTGTGTTTGCTGCACTGTTTGACAGCTACATCATCGTCATGTGTGCGGTGGTCTACACTACTGACAAGCTGGCTTCTGTTTTAGTGGCATCAGTGGGGCTGGCAGCGGATATTATTCTCTACCTGCTCTGCCGCTATGGGCTGCTGCCAGACAGGATCTCACGGCGGGTGGTGCCCTACGCCTTGTGGGTGCTCATAGCAGCTCAGATATTCTGCTACCTGGGTCTGAACTATGCTCGTTTCCACCAGGCGAGTGACACAGTGGGCTGGCAAGCTTTCTTCAGCTTCTCCTTTTTCCTAACTCTGCCTTTGAGATTGACACCTATTGTGCTCATCACTACTGTGTCCTGTGGGGTCCACACCCTGGTTCTGGGCGTCACTATTGCTCAGCAGCAACAGGAGGACATTCAGGGTGCAGCACTTGGCCGACAGGTAAGATTGTGGAAAGAGAGGAAAAAGAGTGTGTGGAGGGATATGAAAATAGTTGTACTTGAAAGAATATACTTTCCTGGGTGTAATCTCATGTAGCCAGAGCCAGATCTTTAACTTGTTGAGTTTACAGAAACCCTTTACTTCACAGATGCAGCAGGCCAAAACTAAACACAGCTGCTGTGTCAGAGACTGTGGCATAATCTAGAGACTATTCATTGTTCTTGTATTACAGTACAGTTTTGGTATTGACACTAAAATAACACTGTTGACAAAGTGACCTAAACTGATGGCCTCTTGCTTGCCTGTTCTGCAGCTAGATGTTTTATTTTTCCTGAACGTAAGTAGCAGTGTGAAACTTAATAAATTATAGTGTAAAATCGGCCCCATAATGACATAAACTCCAGACTATTGTTTGGCATCTAGTAGATATTTTCCCAGTACAGACAGACATCAGATTTGGTGAAAAAACAAGGAAAGGTCTACAGTTTACGATTTTCAGTAATTTGCAAATTTTTCTGGCAATAATAGTAATGTGAGAATGCTACTGTGTAGTCTATAAATCTACAAAACCTATGTCCAATCAGAATTTTTTGTGAGCACCCTTTTCCTTTAGAACAGAATCTCTAATCCGTAGACTTGCAAACATTTTTTCAACATACTTGGTAGGTAAGGTTTTTCAGACATCTTGGAGAACTTTCTACAGTTTTTTTGGTGGATTTACCCTGTCTCAGTGTCTTCTTTCTGTGATGAAGTTATTGCAAAACTGTAGAAACTCTACATTCACTCACTGATTCATATACAATCGTTGGCTGAGTACAGACCACAGTGTTAAGTAAAAGCCTACCACCAGCTCTGTGCTGCTGCAATCACAGTTCATGATATTCACTTTTTTTTTTTTTTTTTACTTGCATCACCATGGCAATTATAGAAACTACAGAAAGGGAGACAACATATAACTTGATTTCAGAGGTACAGATTTTTGTAAATGACTTGCGTCGAAGGGGAAAACTTGTAGTTTGTATTTTGGATTTGAAATATATCTTTTGTTACACCAGTCCTGAAACTTTCCGGACATACCTCGTATGTGAGCCATACAGTTATACTGTGCAACATATTTTTTCATTTCCATCATCACACACACTGGGGTTTATTTTGATTCACTTCCATACACACACTTTTCTGCTGCCCTAAATACTCAATAGAGCATGGTGGATTAATCCACTGCTGAAAGTAGGCCCCAGCAAAAGCACTATTTCACCCTGTTTGCATTTCCAGGCTACTAAGGTGTGGTGTTTCACTGCTAAAGGTAATGTGGGGTTTTGGAAGTGGTATACACTAAATGCAGAAATATGCAATACAACACAATATTTGATTTAAAAAAAAGATTGTTTTTATTCAAACCCACAGAGTAAACTATATAATGTTGTAATACTGAATAATGTTGAGTAAAAGACTGAACTTGTCTCTGTTCCGAGATGGACTAATCCTAGTGCATCTCAAAACGATTATAACATTGTGAGAAAGTTTAATATTTTCCACCAGTTTAAGTAAGTGAAATATTTTACGTCTTTTTTTTTCTTTTTTCTTTTTTGATGATTAACACTTAGTTCATGAAAATCAGAACGCCAGGGTCTCAGATTATTAGAATATTACATTTCAAGTTTAAGTAACTTACCATGTGGACACTATATATATTGTGTATCTCTTTGCCGAGTTCAGTACACGCAAACACAATCATGGGGAAGACTGCTGACTTGAAAGTTGTTCAGAAGATGATCATGGACACCTCCATAAGGAGCCACAGAAGGTTATTGCTGAATCTCTGGCTGTTGGCAGAGTTCTGTATTGAATGAAGCATATGAATGTTAAGTTGACTGGACGGGAAACTGTGGTAGGAAAATGTGCACAAGAGACAGGGATGACTGCCGCCTTGAGAGATTTGTCAAATAAAGTAGATCAAGAACTTGGGAGGACTTCACAAGGAGTGGACTGAGGCTGGTGTCAGTGCATCAGGAGAACAAGAATGGCACTGTCGCTAAGTAGTCCAAAGATTTAGATGAAAGTGAATTTCAGAAATGAAGGTCCTAGAGTCTGGAGGAAGAGTAGAGAGACACAGAATCTGAGGTGTTTGAAGTACGGCCTGACCGATATGGATTTTTTGAGGCCGATGCCAATTCTGATATTTGGCAAAACAAAAATTCTGATAACCGATTAATCAGACGATTAATTAAAAAAATATGTAATGACTGAATTAGCTTCTTTTTTGGTCCCTTAATGCTTACAACAACAAAGATATGAATTAAAGGCAGAACATTTTACTGTTTTACAATATTTTGTCCTTTCGTGTTTGTTTAACTTTACAACGGAGAGGAATTTTCAAGTACAAAACGTGCAACAAAGCATTAAACATAATATGCATCAGTAAAAAAAAAAAAAGTTTTCTGAACAAAGATGTCTGTAATGTGGGGTATTTTATTTTAAATTTGCACTGTGCATTTTTCTTTCTGTGGAGCATGCATGAATATAGCTACCAGTTGTACTGATGAATTTATCTTTAGGTTTAGGCCATAGGTGTATGCTGTATACAAGCAACATAATGAGTTAAGTTATTGGCAGCCCTCTGATGCCCTTTAACGTTAAATCACATTTTCTCTATTCCATTATTTCCTTCGCCATTAAGTCATGACTCATATGAACCAAAATAAAAACCAGACGCCTTTCTCAGGTGTCATCTTTGACAGAATTGCATTTTAAATATATAATGGTCACAAATAGTCCAACACTAATGTTACTCTATAACGACACAGTGAGTTGCTGTTACAGCCTGTGTCACCTTATAGTATTTTCTGACAAAGTAAAACTAAGAGTGACATCTATCTACCTATCTACCCTCTGCCTTCACATCGCTCCTCCTTAATGCGCCTCAACACGCAGCTGACGGATGAATGATCGTTCTGTACTCTCAAAGACTGTGCTGTCTTTGAAGTTGATGAGAATAATTGAATAGAAATGTAAGTTAAATAAGTTGGTTAAAAAGTTGGATAAAAAGTTGTTTTCTGTAGTTCTCTGAAAAACCATCAGAGTGAGTGCTCTATGTGCTGTTTTGGTTTCAGAATTTGCGGCAGAGTGACTGATCTTACTGCTATATGGTCATAGGCGATCTCAATTCTTTGTCATCTCCATGAGCCAAGTTTGACTTGTTTACAACAAGCAGTAGCAAAAACTGAGCTTTTCGTGGTGTTGCTGAAGTGTTTTTGACATGCTTTTGCCTTGGAGAATATTTGTCTTTTTACAAAATCAAATTGTACGAAGTTAATGTACGAAAGCGACTGTGACGCTTAACAGCATTTACCGTTTTATGAGAAATTAAGAATATATCGGTGATTAATCGGCAAAACTCCGGCCAATGATGATTATTTTGAAAAGGGCTATAATCAGCCGATTTAATCGGCCAGCCACTAAATCCATCGGGCCCTAGTTTGAAGTCTAGTGCAACGTTTCTACAGTTTGTGATGATTTGGGGTGTCATGTCATTTGCTGGCATTGGTCCACTTTGTTTTATCAAGTCCAAAGCCAACGCAATCATCAACCAAAAGATTTTAGAACATTTCCTCCTTTTTCAGCAGGACTTTGCACCTGCCCACAGAGCCAAAAATGAGTACCAAATGATTTGCAGAATATTATTGGCCAGTCAACTCACCTGACCTGAACCCTGTAGAATCCCACATGTAGTGTCAACAGGAAGATGAGAAATACTTTGGCCAAAAATACAGACTAGGTAAAGGCTGCTGTCCAAGTATGGAAGCAAATCAGGCGCATCCAATTTTGAATTTTAGAAGCTGTTTAATTTCTAACTTTGACTTTTGTTGCCATCGAAATTGTGTATGTGAATTATTTTGTCTGAATTTAGCCCACATAAATTTCAATAAGTCAAAATTCAGGTGTAAAAATTCGAAGCCATGAAAATTCGGCGGTGCTCAAATTCGACAGGTCAAATTCGACAGGTTCAAAATTCGCTGTTAAAAATTCACTTTTCACATCCGGGGACTTAGACATAAACAATCGATTCTGGCCGAAGTCGATCCAAGCCAGTCAAATTCCGCTCCTCTGGTCATGTGACGTGCACGGTTGAATGCAGAGGACGACGGTCATTAGCCGTGGTGGCAACCAGCGGTAACGGCGGCGCTTCGGTGAGTATGCTAACCCTTTATTTGCCTTCTGTGTCATTTGTTTTTTGAGAGTCAGTAACCGGTAATGCAGGACACGTTTCTTATTGGATAATATCCCTGAGGAGCTTTTAATGATTTGCACTGGTTACAGTTTAGCTAGCATGGCTAAAGTTGTGCCAGCTTTAAATGAAGGTTTATTCTACTGAGTACAGAGGCAATAAATGTGAGTTTATGTTAAGGTCCGACTGACAAAAAACAGTAAGAACGTCACACTGACAGCACGTTCAGCAGCTGGGTACCTGAGTAACAATTTTACAACCACACAAATGGATATGTAGGGGATGTGTGATGGATGGGCCAGAAAATGCAGTTAAGACATAGTGTACAGAACCTGGGAACCTAGCAAACGAAACTTGGCTATGCAACACTTTGTTTCTTATTTGTGTTTTCTGCTCTGGTTAATGTTTTGGTTTGTTTCATTGCAAATTAATCTTGTTATTGAAAGGTTTTTAACTATGTAGTCAAAGTCACTACAACGGTGGGTGAACAGCTTCAAATGAACTGCCCTAGAGGGCTCTGGTCACAGCTGACCATTCAAGATTCAAGGCTTTTATTTATCACACACAATTTTGCACAGTATAACGCACAGTGAAATTTATTATGCACCTGTTCCACCAAAGCAATAATAATAAGAAGAAGAAAGAATAAAACACGCAAGAAATAGATAAATAAATAGATTGAAATGAGCAAAATAAATAAATCAAAGTGTCAATTATTTCCACACCATGTTATAAAAGGAGTTATTGTGCAATGATGGTGATAAATGCAACT